ATTATTATTATTATTATTATTATTATTATTATTATTATTATTATTATATTGTGTGATCATTATCAATGCTATGAATATTATTACTATTATTATTTTTCAAAAACTGTCCTCAGACAACACACAGCTCATGTAAATATTGACTTTTTACGTTTACTAAAGAAAAATGCATGAATAAAATATACTGTATATTAAAAAAAAAAAAAGCTATGATTCTTTTTCCAATGGCCAAAGGGATAGATGAGCTTAGGATTCCGCCCCCACCTGGACGCTTTGATCTGAATCCACTGGTTCGTGTTGATTGGGACGGTAGACCGAAGGATCACGGGTTTGGAGCCAAGGTCGTAGGTCATTTGGACCCGGCCGTCCACGATGGCCAAAGCGATGTAGTCGGATCGATCCAGACCCTTCCCGCTCCACAAGATGAGTCCCTGGGTGGCTTCGGTTTTGATGCTCAGCTCGAAGTAGTTGGACTGCAGAGCCTTCTCGCTGCATGGGGATGGAAAAGGGAAGTCAGCTCGGGAATCAGAGGGGGGCGTAGCCCACTCCATCCAGACCAGATGACCTCTTGGCCTCTTTGGGTTTGAAATATTTCTTGGCAACTTTACCTATTGTTCTTGGCAGCCTTGCGCAATCTTGGCAAGGCTCGTTCTTATGGGAGACCATTAGTTTGAAACAGCCTTTTAACCGGGAAGGAATGGAATTCGTAAAGAATCATTAAAAGGTTTTGCTGTCACCTCCGTTTGGTGTTGTTGTTTTGGGTCAGAACATGGGCTCTATGGTGGTCTTAAGTTGAACCCTTACCTGTAAATGGTAGGAAGTTAACATGGCCCAGGGAAGTTTTTCAAGTTTTTATTTTGTTTTTGAAAGGCTGCGCTGTAGATTTGTGCAATTTAAGATCTTGGGGACAGTGTAGCTTTTGAAGCCCAGAATGAGATGGCCGACTAACCAGAATCAATTTCTCTTAAGATCTGGTTTATTCCCTGCCAAGGGATCTCTTCTCCTTGAGAGATTCGAGGGTAGCAGAGAAAATCAACATCCTGGTTAAGAGTTTTTCACCCGTCACAGAGCATGATATACACATGGATACACACATCTACACAAGACGAGACACACCACAACACGG